ATCATTGTCATAAGCAAACATCTAATCTTATACCAAGTGTGTTTATGTTTGTTGGAAGCGGTGATGAACCTGAATGGGGTGTTTCAACCAAATTCTGAGGTCTAAAGCGTCATGTCTTGACACTAGTAACTATTCCGAACCAATCTATAGCCCCAATGGACTCCCTGAATAATTCAAGATGTGTTAGCTGGGGATATTTTCTCTGGGCTTGGTGTACAGTTGTGTTGTAATGAAGAGTAACTGCAGTTTTTTTTTCCCTTAATGCTCTCATGTTAAGACCTTCCAATCGGAAGATAAGACAACATCCGCGCCATTAACCCCCCCCCCCCAAAAAAAAAAGTACATAATACAGGTGTCCATAAAGTCCCTATCTATTTGATGAAAAACAATACATTTCTTTTAAATTTCAGGCTAACTTGAAAGAGTAGTTCTGGAATAGTGGAAAGGTGGACAGATAACTGAATGCTGACAGCGGCAGTGAATAAATAAATCGATTTCCTGAGCGGTTGATAAGCCGAGGTTGGGACAGGCCATGGTCGCTGGAACTGGCACCGATTGACTTTTTTGTGAAGATTCATCAAGTTTTAGGCTTGCAGAAGCAAAGTTCGCGACTTGCAGAATCTTACAACTCGAACTTATACTGCAGTTGAATCCATAACACCCGCAACATAGCACAACGCATTCAAAGCTACCGCCGACTGGTGGCAAGAATGCCGAGACATGAATGGTGGACATGTGGAGATGAACTAATGCTTCTGGATGAAACATGCTTAATTTATTTGTTTATCCATTTCAATAATTGAACCTGCAATGTAAGGGAAATTCATCGTTTTTCAAGAAAATAGATAGGGACACCCTGTACAGTATATGTTGAGTTAACTAATATGGACATCTTCCTTCCGGAAAACATCCTTACTTCAACTTTGATGGAAGCATCCTAATGCAATGGAGTCATTCCATCTCAAGTGGTCCAATTTTCGAGGGGTTGGTTGCTGCACCGACTGGGATTTCGGTGTAAAAAAATCATGCTTACTAGGGATATTGAGAAACTGATAAATCCAAACTTTCAGCAGTCCTTGTTCAACGGTCTTTGAGGTACGCCCCACTGAAGTTTTGGATGGAAGGGTAAAATGATTCCACTAACAAATGCAACACCTCCTAAACTACTAAAGCTCTAAAGCTGTGTAATAGCTCATTTTCAAGCAATCAGCTTGGCCAGCATAAAATGTCTTATGAGTTTTTCTGTAACTCAACTAGGGAAAACGTTGCTTTTTTCATGAAATTTCTAAATTTCTTACATTTTCAACAAAAAAATTCCATAATGGGAAAGCGCGTAACGAGTACAGCTTTGGGGTGTCTTTCATGCCCCATGAGGGTACTCAGAAGATACATTTATTCCATGTTAATGTAGTTTCAAGAACCTGCAATGCGTGCTTAAACTTTGAAATTTTGCCATATTTGGTCAACTTTGACCTCCAATAACTTTTCTTTGATTCCAAATCCAAGCTAGCTTCTACCATAAAACGATCGATCATTTAAAGCTTTTTCGAGCCATATAGTGCCATCGTGTTTTTCCGCAAGACTGAACGTTGCGAAATTTTTCATTTTGGCATCTCAAGCAGGATTCATTGTCAAGCACCTTATCCCACCTGGATCATGTTTCGGGCTGGGGGAAACATTTATTTATTTATTTTGTGGATTGGACACGACTTAAGAAGCAACTACATGCATTTTGAAAACGTTACGCTATTTAATATTTCAAGTTGGAATTATTGCAAATACCTAAATCCTAAAATCGCCACTCAATTTTGATTAGCTATAACTTATAGAGGGAGATCGGCGAGAAGTACTCCCAACTGCCTCCCCAGACGTCAGATGTAGAGACCGAATGGACTCTATTTCGGTCTGGTGCTTCGGCGGCGGCAGCAGCAAGAGTGTGTGGGGAGTAGCGTATCGGAGTGGCTCACGGTAACGCCAAGCGAACGCCCTGATGGACACCAGCGGTGCCAAGAAAGTAGCCTACCGGGCGTACATGTCCAGTAGGTCTGATTCTTCTAGGGCATGCTACTCCGAGGCACGACGAACTGCTGCTCGTGTTGCGGCCAAAGCGAAACAGGAGGCATGGAAGGAATTCGGCGATCCAATGGAATCAGACTACCGTACTGCCATCAAGGTGTTCTGGCAAACCATCCGAAGGTTACGACAAGGCAGGCAACATACGCTCCGGGTTATCAAAGACAGGAACGGGGAGGTGTTGGCTGCCGAGGCGGATATACTTGGGAGGTGGAAGGAACACTTTGAAGAGCTCTTAAACCCACCAACAGTGGACATTGACCAACCCGACCTGGAGCTTCTTAGCGCGGAGACTAGTCTCACCATGGAGGAAGTTCTGCAGGCCATTGCTAGCCCGAAGAATGGGAATTCTCCTGGTGTGGATGAAATCTGGGCGGAGACTCTGAAAGCAATGGGTACAGATGGGTGCTCGTGACTTTATAGGGTGTGTCAGGCTGCTTGGGAATCGGGAACGGCACCTAGGGATTGACAAACCGGTGTGGTGGATCCTCTTTTTAAGAAGGGGGACTCGAGGGAGTGCACGAACTATCGTGGGATCACTCTCCTCAGCATACCTGGTAAAGTCTATTCCAAGGTGCTGGTGCAGAGAGCTCGGGCAGTCGTGGGTGATGTCATCCAAGAGGAGCAGTGCGGCTTTCTAATACAAGCTGCCGAAATGAGGTTCTTGCGTCGAGTGGCTGGCGTGATGCGCCGTGATCGGATGCGGAACTCTGCCATCCGCGAGAGTCTCCACGTCGAGCAGCTGCTTCTCCGGATCGAGAGGTCTCAGGTCAGGTGGTTTGGTCACGTCTGCTGCATGCCCCCTGAAAGGCCCCCAAGAGGAGTCTTCCAGGCCGAGATGACTGGCAAAAGACCTGTCGGTAGACCTCGTACAAGGTGATGTGATTACATCGCTCGGCTTTGTCACGAGAGGCTCGGCATCCCACCAGCTGATCTTGAGTCGAGGATGCCCAGGATCGAGATCACTGGAGGACGCTCCTAGGAATGCTCGAACAGCGACCCCATTAAGTTGGAAAAAGCGGCCAAGAAAATGAATGACTTCCCAAGGGACAGTCAGATTCTGCTGATATATGGCAGGTTCATGAGTCAAGGAGATTTTTTTCATACTACAAGATGGCGCTGCATGTCGATAGAGGGCGCTGATGTCGACTTCAGCGCCACCTATTTACTTGGTATGTAATTTTTTAAGCATGAGAAAAAAAACCGTTTAGGCCCATAAATATTTCTGCAAATATCAGCTGAATCCTAGAGTCATTTCAGAAAATATGGTCAAGCAAAGTTGGATGGTGACTTGTAAATATCAAATTTAACAAATGAGTCATAGACCCATGAACATCTTGGTCGAACATCTGCTGCATCTTACTACTCCTTAAAAAGTTATGACCAAACAAAATTTGATTGTTATGATAGTTGATAAAATAAATTTATCTTCCGAGTACCCTCATGGGGCATGAAAGCTGGACTCGCTACGCGCTTTCCCATTATGGAATTTTTTTGTTGAAAATGTAAGAAATTTAGAAATTTCATGAAGAAAGCAACGTTTTCCCTAGTTGAGTTACAGAAAAACTCAAGACATTTTATGCTGGCCAAGCTGATTGCTTGAAAATGAGCTATTACAGAGCTTTAGAGCTTCAGTAGTTTAGGAGGTGTTGCATTTGTCAGTGGGGTCATTTCACCCTTCCATCCAAAACTTCAGACGGGCGTACCTCAAAGACCGTTGAACAAGGACTGCTGAAATTTTGGATTTATCAATTTCTCAATATCCCTAGTAAGCATGATTTTTCACACCGAAATCCCAGTCGGTGCAGCAACCAACCCCTCGAAAGTTGGACTTAAGATGGAATGACTATGCCGTATCGCTTTCATCCATCGCTTCGGCCAGTGGCGGATAGTGGAAAAATGCGTTATATCGTGTTTGGGATGCGATTGGCTTGCACCACGGCAGGACTCCTTACGGCTCGATAAATTTCTCGACTCTCCAAGAGGAGTCAAGTCCAGATGCTCGCCATCCATATCACTTGTTCATAGCCACGAAAAGCCCCGAAGCGTGAAGAGAACCATGTGCAAGATTCAAAGGAGGAGGAGGACAAGGAAGACAGTGAGGCAGATGGCGAAGTTCCCTGGCGGATTTTTCCAGCGATTGCACCAGAAATTGACCACACACTCCTGGCATTTTCCTTTTCCTGGAAACGGCTGTATAGTGTTTTTCTCTTTCTTGCGCGAGAAATCTTTCTTGATCGGTTTAAAGTATGCCCAAAGCTAAGGGTGGATTTTTGAACAGAGCACTATCCGAAATGCAGCTTTATTTACCGGATTTATAATGCATTTTCTCTGAAATAGAGCTGCATTATCGGATAGCGCTCTGTTAAAAAATCCACCCTAAGCTTCGGGAATCTTAGACAAACGAAATCACACCTTTTTCTGGTGGAATCCCGCGAGTGCAGTTCTGTCTGACTCTCGAATTGTTTTCAAAATGGGCAGCTGAATTATGCAATCGAAAAAAACTTCTCAGGAAGCAGGTTCAGACACTTCAGGGGGAAGACACAACATAACATTTTATTTTGCTCGTATAAGATATAGATTAAATATATGGATGGGATGGGATGGGATGGGATGGGAGGGAGTATATATTGGCACGTTTCAGTTCCCAAGCTCACCTCACAAATGGATCGAGACGAGAATGAATTCGTTAAGAAAAAAAGGAAAGCACCTCGGCATATGAAAGCACATTGGACCATGTCTGCTAAACGAACAAAAACATTCGTCGGACGGCTATGTGATTTGTAGAAAAACAATGAAGAAAGAAGCATGAATTGATGATGATGACTGGCAGAATGAAAGAGGGACGCATTCGAATGATGCATGCACTCCACTTTTAATAATTTCAGAATGAAATGAGAACATTACACAGGGAAATAGATCCATCTCCTTTGGGTAGGGATTTTGTGCGTCGAAAAATAATGAAAACTTGAGTGGAATTGTCGTCCACTTTCTCCCAAACGAGGAAAAGAAGGGAGAAATTGTCATAAAACTGGTAGTCTTCTGCATACAGAACATGCAGCGGGGCGGGAAATGACTCATCGGCCGGCAATTTGATGAGAAATGTCTAGGCGAGCTTGACGCGTTTGTCATTGACAGGTCCACCCCATCGGTAATGAGATCCGTCTCCAGTCCTTAGAACTCGCTGTTTCACCACTTCGTCTGGTACGGACTTGAGGTCGTAGGCCAGGCCTAGGAAGGCCATGAAATCGATGAAGAGAGCCGTGAAATTCACGTGGTATGCTCCCAGCTCGGAGGTCTTGTAATCCCAGGGAAACGTGTGATGGTAGTTGTGCCAACCCTCTCCGAATGCCAGGGTTGCCACGGACAGGTTCTCCACTGCACTTATATTCCTACCAAACGAAAACAGGAACCTCGATATCTTCATCCGTTAGACGCGAACCGGTTCGGTATCGATTATTCATGTAAAAAGACAACTTTTACTACTCTGACAACTTTCAAGGAACATAAATTTGCCTGCTAATTGCAGTGAGTATGATAAGATGCCAAATCCATTCAGTTATGACCAATATTAGACACTCATCTATTGCAAGTGTGCCTAAGATTCCAGCTTAGCCCCGGAAGATATCCCCCACAGGGTGGGCTTGAACGAGGTGATTTTTTTTAATATGATTGATCGTTCATCTTGTTCATATTTTTCCACTCTTATCGGTTCCAATGTTTGTTTTTATGGAAAGGAGGAGGGACTGACTTATCGTAGGGATGTGGACCCCAGATGTGTGCGGCGCTGTTGACGAGCCAGGTGCCGTTGAGTACGAGGCAGTACCTAGCCAAGGCACAGGTGCAGAAAGCCACCCACGCATCCTCTCCCCAAAAGTAAACGGGTGTCACCGTCGGGAAGACGAAGCAGCATAACAGCACGAGAGGAAGGTAAAACCTATGAAACAATCGACAGAAGGCCTCTGTCAAGAGGTCAAGTTCTCTGGCCAAGATGTGGGTCTGAAGAAGAGTTTTTTGGTCCCATATGTCATGCTACTGATATTCATGGAAATCAAAGGGCACCTTTACACCAGCCCCTATACTCATGCAAGCATTTTGCTGCTCGTCCGGGAAGTTAGAGACCGAATCCATAGAGTTCTGCTTCCTTAAAACATCCCCGTAGCATTAGCTTCATCCTTCCCTTTAACAGCACCATCTCTTGGAATCATTATGGGACTGAAAACGATCCCTATTGGAACTATCCTTTACCTATTTGTACTGAAAATTTTCATTCATAGCCATTAATATTATTACAATGGTCTGAGAAAAAATAGACGGAGTTGGGCAAAATTGCCTCATTTCAAGAATTCAGTTATCCTATATGGAATGGATTTCCATATACAGTATTATGGTTCTAACTAACGGAGAAGCATGGACAGTCGCAGATAAAAAATATACCAGGGGTGCCTGGAGGATACAAAGAGTTCATCAAAGGTGGATGATCTCTATGGGTCCTTTTGGCCTTATCATTCATTCAAATTTGAAAATAGTAACTGATGAACTTCTCCTTTCGGACTTCACTGAAGCAGTAATAGGTGACATGCACCGAATCTGTTCAAGTTTAACTAATCTGATTTCACAATGGTCCTCAATGGGAATCCGTTTGACGGAGATGATATTATTCCCATAGACGCCCATTATGAAACCGTATCAGTTAAAAGTTAAACGAATCTGGTGCATGTCACCCAATATCAACCTCCCTTTCGCTTGACACTATTTTTTTACTCCGAGGCCATGTATCCTGTCGTATCGTAACACATCGTAGTAATGATTTGTCATACGTGGAAACGAGTTCTTAGTCATCATAAAGCGCTTCTCCCTGATATATATGTGAAACAATGGTTTCAGGGAACTGGGTCATGCAATCAAACGGGCCTGTCATTAGATATGCTTGAATCATATTTATTCTATGGGAATCCCTGAGGCCCCGACAAAGCCACTTCCTTCGCTTGACTATCAGGCTGCAGTTACCGAGAAAGAGTCGAGTGACTCACATCCTCTGGTAGTAGACGATAGGATCTGCGAGGAGGTCATTGCAGTCGACGGATTTGCCTCTTGCAATCACCTCTTGGTGCTTCTTGACACAGAGCCAACCGACGTGGGAGAAGAAGAACCCCCGCCTCGCATTGTGAGGGTCCGCATCCGTTTCGCTGAACTTGTGATGCACCCGGTGATCCCTCGACCATTCGTGAATGTCATTCTGGAAAAGACATGTCCACTGGAGAGGACGACTTGGGCTTGAGGATGAAAAGTTCTTTCGAAGTGGGGACTCACTTGGAAGGCGATGGTGTTGAAAAAGCCGAGAAGGAGTCGAAGGGGCCATTTGGCCTTGTAGCTACGGTGAGCCCAAAGACGATGGGCTCCAGCCGTAATCCCAAACCCGGAGCATAACACGAGAGCGACAACTGCAAGGAAACCCAAGTTATTTAGATAGTCTCGTCCCCCAAAAATTCCATTGGGTCTTGAAACCTTATAGTGCAAAGATGAGCTACCATTCACCTCTGGTATATCTTTGACACTACAATTCCTCCTTTTTTCGGCCTCATTTTGCCTATCTGAAAGAAACCTAGGGTGGATTTTTGAACAGAGAAGATAGGCTATTACGACGAAATAAAGTCTCTTTTACGTAATATTTTCCGGTAAATAAAGCAGCATTATCGGATAGTTCTCTGTTCAAAAATCGACCCTAATGAGAGAAAAAGCTGAACCTAAGTTCAGTTTTTTCTCTCCTTTTTCAGGGCCGTCCACAACCGGAATTTTGTCTGTTGGTCAATTTGGAGGTGCCGGAGAGCGCATATATGGGTGTTTCTCCCCCTCTCTCCACTTTCAACCCAGTGAAATTATGAGAGGAACACAATAGCATTTGATCAATCGATATTTGGATTACTTTTAAAATCCTGCAATATCCCTGCATACGATGGAAACTTCGAAGATACATACATGCAGTTATATCCAATTGAAGCTTCCAAAACACAAACTAAACCCCTTGTCTGCGACTTCATAATATGGAGGAAAGAGAGGAAGACATACAGAAGAGATTGGTAGCAGCCATGGTCCGAGCGAAGATGTAATAAATGCCGAGTGGAGCCATCGAGTGGAGGATGATGAACAAGATGACATTTCTCCAAACGATGTCCTTGTCGTATATCTTGTCTGTTAGAGGTGCCCCGACAGAAGACTCTTGTGGCAACGGTTCAAATTCGTAGAGGCGACCGGTGGGGAGAATGTCTGTGTCCTTAGTGTTGGGCGCCATCCTTCACCACGTCACCTTCAACTGTAACGAAACCTTTCATTTTCAACGAGCTCATGGACTAAGGCATCCCATCCGTTCCAGTTCCGATTAGAATTTTATCATTGGTGGTGGTACTGGGGCGAAACGGGAGAAAAAGTAGGCTTCTCGGAAAGTGCCCTCAGATCCCTTCGACGCTGAAGCAAAGCCCATAGGTATTACGACTTATCTGCTTCGAGTCTCCAATTTGAGTTCAATGATTAATCTGTTGTACTGATGAAAGAAAGTGTAATCCAAGACGTAAATAAACGGGCTTTTCTGATAATCTCTCTTCCCGCCACAAAAAAGGATAAGGAAGCTGAATTAAAAAAAAAATTATTTGGCATTCAAGGCAATATGTTAAAGAAAAATCAAACAAAATAATATTGTGCATTTCTTGATGGATACAGGATGAAAGCGTTGGGAAGTTTTGCTCATGCGTCTTTTGATGTCCTTCACTCAATGCAATTAATTGTTATGTGTTCTCTTCAAACTTTTATTCAAAGTTTAGATACCGGCATGGTTGATATCATGTACGAATTCCAAACGATCTGCCTAAAGCATGTGGATTATGAGACTGAAAGTATAACACCTGTCCTGTCAGCCTCCAAGGAGAGACGAATAAGCGCTGATTGAAATTCTCTTTCCTTGCAAACAGGTAGACTACAGAGGAGAGTTTCTTAGGAAGTGAAACGTCCTCCCGCGTTGTATACATCCTTATGCAGCAACTTGGATGAGCCAGATGAAACGGAGAGGAATCGCTTAACACCTTTTATTTCAGGGCCACATCCAGAATATGCCATCTTTATCTCCCACCTACAATTTCCTGGGAGTCCATGGGGGAAGTGGGAAATATTTTAAATGCAAATCGTATTTTACCAATCTCACCTATGTCAAGCTTACAAGCTTTTGAAACTATTAAATAGAGACAGTCTATGAACATATTCGGAAACTTTCCTCTCTCTCCCCTCTAAAAAGGGAAAATATTCCATCCAAAATATAGAGATTCATGTGTGCCCAAAAATATCGGCATTAATAACCATGGGTAAGTTCGTTCAGCCAGGTTTGTTAGTGACACGCCATACGTCTCATGTGAAGTCATGCAAGCCCCCCCCCCCCCTCATAGAAACTTTCTACTGTAATTACTCTGCAAGATAGTCGGCAAGTTCAAGATCATACTGGGAAGCCTAACTCAAGATGGCGTCGTGTCCCCATGCGGAAGCTCGCTTCCGTCAGAATCGTCCTTAGGTCATTTAATTACTTTTGGATTTACCGAAAGCCACAAACCATAGGCCATCACAGGGAAACTGATCTTCATGTCCCATTATGTGAGCAAAAAGGAAACTCGGTAATCTTGGGAGACTTACAATACACGGACGAACAGATGTTTGCATTTATTTCAATTCAGCAATTTCTCATTTTTCAGAGTATTAAAAAATCGATTATGACTTCTTCAGCGTGAGTGCTCAGTTCAATAAAGACTATGAAGTAATATGAAAACCAATGTCAATGTCGAAAATCAATGGTTTTCCCTTTCTTCAACCCCCCTCCCCCCTTCTCTACGGGGCTCACTAACGTTAGGCCTAGGCCTAACCAAGACTGTCTTCAGGTCACACCAAGGCCTACCTTTTTCCTTTAAAAAAAAAAAACTGAATTCTCGACTTACTGGGCCAATTAGGCCAATGAGGGTGAATCCGTGGTCTTCGAGACATCTCGTTGAGGGCGTGTAACGTTAGGCCAATCGCAGACCTATTTATACTTTCTCGAACCATTTCAGAGAGGACGTGTAACGTTAGACCGATTGGAGTCTTTTTTTCGCGTTTCATGAACCATTTCAGTGCAGACGTAGAACGTTAGGCCTTTCTGGAGTTCCTCGAACCACCTCGAATAGGTCTGGGGAGGGAATGCTTGCAGGAAGCATGGTAACCATGGTCCACGCCATCCTGTTAATTCAGGGATGTGCGGATAATACATCTCCATATCCCACCAAATCAATCACTGCTAACCACCACTTCTTTCTCGGTTCAGTTCATGAACTCAGCACGAAAATGTCTCGTGCACTAAAAAAAAAACAGAAGATACAGACGCTGATACGAAGGTTGAAGTAGTCTTGAATCTGGCATAATTTCGGCACGGTATCCGGCAAAACTGGAGGACGGTACCGGAGCAAGGCCTAATAGGCCTAATTGAACGACAGCTAATTTCATTTTTATGGCGAAATGGAGCAACACAAACAACAAAAAGGCCACTTTTCGTCATCTACGAGTCAATATCTTTCTTATGGTTGGTCTCTTTCCTCTTTCTCTGAAAAGTCTCCAGGAGTTTTCAGAGGAAACCCAGGGGGGGGAGAAAAAAAACCGGAATGATACATCTTCCAAAAACGAGATTCAGTGTTCTCCGCAACCCTGGAAAGATGGAGCTTCAAATTAGCTGAAACTATTCTGCGTTGCGAGAGGAAGATGCAAGCCAAATTTCGTTCCTTTTGATGCTCTCCGAGAGGAATACGAGGAGGTTGAATTTTGCTATGAAGGGGGTTGAAGAAAGGATTTTTTGATTTGGAGAATTTTTGCGCTGTCAAGAACTCTGGAATCGGCTCATGTAGATTTTATCTGTACATTTCCAGCAAAGAGATAGCTCGTGCTGAGAACCTTTCTTCCGGCAAACTTCCTGAGACTTTTTTCCATTAACAACCTAAGGTCTTCTGGCATTTTTGCTGATATATTTTTAATGTATGAAAGGAATATGGCGAGAAGATAAAATTGTACCTTTTTTTTGCAGGAAACAAATTTTCATTTCAAATAATAAACTAGGAAAATGGCCTTGAATCTACATTAATATCCATTGCATTGCGGAGCGTCGATCTCATGCATAGGCAAATCCCATCCCAAATATGACATTATCTGGAAGAAATGAAGTCTGTTCAACTACATGAAGAATGCGCAGGCTTAAGAATGGAAAAATGCATTTCCTCCAGATTCCATAGTAGATTAAGTGTTTCATGGTCGTAAGAGACAGTTTCGACTAAGTCATAAACATGTGAAACCGATTGACAAGCGGGAACGGGAGTGAATGCATTCTTCTGAAACCTAGACTCAGAGGATTCACGATGCTTGTGTCAGAAAAATCTGCAAAAGGGCACAGTCAAAGGTATGCATAGAGTCCCGAGAAGAAAGGATCGAAAGAAATGGAGGAGAAAAAAACGGAAACTGGAAAGGGCCAGAAAAAAAGATGAAAGAACTCGGTCGGTTCATTATTATGCTAGTCATGATCGTACTCGGGCGGACTTGACCTCCTCAGAGTCTGACTTCAATCCGCCTCTTTCTCATTAACCAATTCCATCTTCGGGTCATCTACCCCAAAAATCGAACTGCATTCCTGTCAGAGGTGAATCCTACAATTCCACTACCTTAATTGAGAAACTACGCAGGGCGATTGCTAAAGCAATTCTTCTTACATTGTGGAACGTAGAAGTGTGGAAAGTCGCATCGAAGGCTTCCACTTTTGCCAGACCCTCGTCCGACGTCTACCAAGGCGGAAGCGAATCGCTAACTGCTTAATTTCAGTGCTGCTAGTCCAAGGTAAAAGGTGTAGCTAATACATTTTCATTATCTCTCTCCTTTCCCCATTCATCATGAAGGAAAATGGTATTCCCGCTTTTGGATAATTTTTTTTTTCATGGGGTCACAGTTCTTCCCTTGTCCTTGACTCTGAATTTCATCACCGTGATTCACTTCTGTCCTGAAGGACAAGGGTCTGGTCGAAGTGGAAACCTCGAAAATGTTGTTCCGCATATCGAGAAAAAGCAGAATGGGAAATTTCTGGGAAATTGATCCATTCATGACATTTTTGTAATAAAATTTTATTTTACGTAACTTATTTCTAATTCAAGTCATTAACGGTATATGGGCCTTACATGACTGGGACCGCATTGAGGAAGAAAATAAAGGGCAGGAAGTGTTTGAAAAGGATATTTTGAGCATACTGCTAAACGGGTCCGATGCGTTGCTCAGCAATGTGCCCCTTCTTCTTGCCTACCACTCCAAGAAAAAAAAAATTATTGGCCGAGGAATTTGATAAATAGCGAAGGACTAGACACTACCACCACCCCTGAGAAATCGCCCAGAAAAGAATGAACGAGACCAGACATACATCTGAATCTGCATCTCTGACGAGACATCGCGTTCGAAATGACGAATGAACGGCTTGCTTTTCCTGTGAACAATTTTGGGCTAAACGCCGATCGCAAAACAAATCAGACTTGTGAGGAAGAGGTTTTACCAAGTGCTGGATTTGAATGAAACTACTGGCAGTCGGGGTTAGTTTCAAATCGCCAAGTGCAACTTCGATGGAAGCGAAGAAACTTCGTCAGCAAATGATAGCAGAGAAATGATCCTCTAAACGTCCCCTGTGGTCTCTGGGAAACAGGTGAGCACCAAATCTCTGGAACTCCTTTCCACAAAATCTTAAAGTTTCTGATGAAGGCATTCATCGTGATTTCGGCGAACCGAATTTTGCAATATGAGAAAATATGACAGTCTGATGAATAAAATAAGATATGCCCACTCTCCGTTGTCTTCCTGAGGTCAGGGAGAGCTAGCAGAAAACAGTAACTTCAATTAAATTCATATTGATTCATTGATATTAGGCAGGGTAAGCCGTGGGGGTCTTTGCTAGCGGTCGTGGATTCATGCTTAATAGCTGAATGTAAATGTGACTTAGCTGAAAATCATGTCGTTCCCACTGTCGATATGTTTGGAGCCAAGGGCAGAATCATGACCAAGCAGAAATATGGACTGGCCATCCCTCAAGTTGCAACACTGGCACTCTCGGTGCGTACCGTGGAGTGGTGGACGAAATATTTGCAGGGCACAAACTCTCTTTGCATTGAATTTTTGATGACACCGATGAAAGAATAAACTGTGAAAACTCGATCCCGACCTCTTATCTATGACTATTGAGGACAGGAGGATGTGGTTGGAAGGTTGAGAGATGGGAGGAGAGCACAA